GTCATGACAATTAGAGAAATGGCCGTGACGTAAGAAAGTTATTTAATTTATCTATGACGAATACGTCCAAGCTCACTACAGCGCTGCCGCTTAAAATTACTGGAAGGATTGGTAGTATGGACATGAACAGTGACGCTGCCTGCTAATGTGCTGGAAAGCTGAATGGCTTGCAAAGAGTGGCTTGTTCACTCATTTTCCATGTTACATGCAGGTTACAACAGGGAATTGGAGTAGGCCGGGGAAGTCGGTTCCCTGTTGTAAAGAGTATCGGATGAAGGAGCTCTATATTCAGCGCCGGATGTCGAGTTCACAGTCCGTCCTTAAACAAATTCGACCAATGCCATGTGCTTCAATGCCCTTGCTTGCAATAAAGATGTGCGTTTGAGAGACATCAAGAGAGAAATGCGTGAAAGTAATCCATTGAACAAGGGGAGATGTAACTTTCAGGTCAACTCCACGAACATCAGTCATTTATGGAAGCTTCCAATACATGTTATACTCACCAGAATGCAAATAGCTTGCGAATTTCAAGTTTTTTTTTATTTCTGTACAAATTATTTGTGGAACAAGCAGTTTTTCCTAAAATATCGCCAATGCAATGAAGATGAACATCTTGGCATTACTCGTGGAAAAAAACTGAACGGGAACATTTTAGGCATCCTACGTATAAAATCATTGCAGTACCATTGAAAGAATCCTTTTCGGGAGAACCATGCTTCTATTTTACCCATAAGCCATTGGTTGAGACTCATCGTCCACGATAAGAACGAAAAGAACAAAAAAATTGCATTTTTTTTAAAATTCGAAAAACCGGAAGACTGCTACGCGTTCAAATTACCGCCGGACATCTGTCACAAATGCTGGCGACGGGAACGCTTCCACTTGGTTCACGGAGTGCTGTCACTAGAAACTCTTTTTGACCTTTTGACTTATTGCATTAACATCTCACACTTCTACTGCATCCTATTCTATCGATCGATTTGTCTCTACTCTCCAAAATCGCACGCTTTAACCCGATTCTTTCATTGCGTCGCCTGATACGTAGCCGCCCAAGCGCACTTCTTTCCATGCCCCGCCTTTGGCTCCGCGCGAATTACCTTCGATTGTCCATAGAGTGGTTTTCGTGAGTTTGTTTCTCTTCGGAAACGAAATCTTCGTGCGTGAAACTTTGTGTTGTCTCTAATGAACACCACTTACACATTCATGCTGGGAAAGATGCAGATATTTTCCGAGAAGGATTCCTTTAAAAATCTTGGAGCTACGTAGGAAGATCCATAAGCTTTCCTCGCATCGACCCATTATCAAGAGGTTGCCCAAGGACGGATTGGGGTTGTGACTCCGCAGAACGACTCGGTATTTACTCTTCCACTTTTTGAAACATCTCTGTCCCCAACCTGGGATTGCGAAGAATGGAAGGTCGAAAACTGCCCACATTCTGGTCAAATGATCAGGGCAATCACTTAGAAGAGTATCACTTACAACAAAGACTATGGCAGTGTGGATCGCATCCAGGGTCAACCGTCCGTTGGACAAAGTCCAACGGGGGGTCGTATTTGGCCGACGCTAGAGGGGGGGGGTCGTATTCGCAGGAGTCAACGTTGCAGTACGAAGAGGTTTTTGGGTGTAGATGACGAGAGGTGGTTTTCGCTATAAGGAACCTAATGTGTGTTGTGATGAAGCTCGCAGCTGTTGGCTCTTGCTGGGACCATCGAACGATTAGAATCAAGACGTTAGTTCTCGCGACAGTAGGTGAGAGGTAAAACTTTTGAGTGCTTCTTCAACTATTAAGCACAAACGAGTGCATGGCGCACATCAGAGCAGAAGAGTCTACTGCGAAAGTATCCATATTTGACTGCGCACGTATACAAATACCAGTTGGCGCCGCACGCATTGCGCGCGCAACACAGATCTGCGGCGAATTTTGATGGTGCGACGAAAATTTTCAAATTTGGCTTGATACACTACGAATATCTGAATTCTCAGCTAAATTCAATCCGCTCCATCATCGACGGCTTTCAACCTTTTTTTCTTCGTCAACCATTATCCTCTTTTTCTCGGTCTCCGGACTGCTTCCGGACAATAAATCTCGTGGCAAACTCCGCCTACTTCGGTGCGTGCCCCGCCCACCAATAGCATTTGTCCCTACGCTTTCGGCCGCTCTCTACCGGCGCCTTTTTCAACCATCGGTCCTCTGGACATCTGGAACAAATTACGAATTTTGGCATCCGCCCAATTATGTGCATCGCTCGCCCACTAATAGCAGTTGACCTCCTTTCCTTTGCCGGCCTCTACTCCCTTTCTCCCGGCCTCCGGGACTTGTTGGGAGCCGAGTTTTATATTTTCGTCGCAGACTCCGCCCACTTTGGCCAAGCCCCGCCCACCGATGACAGTTGACCTCCTCCTCCACTCACCTCAATCCACCTTTTTCCCGGCCTCCGGAGCTTTCTATGGAGCCGAGTTATGAATTTTCGTCGCAAACTCCGCCCACTTTGGTCAAGCCCCGCCCACCGATGACAGCTGGGCCTCCACTCCTCCACCCACCTCCACCCACCTTTTTCCGGCCTCCGGGACTTCTTGGAGCCGAGTTATGAATTTTCGTCGCAAACTCCGCCCACTTTGGTCAAGCCCCGCCCACCGATGACAGCTGGCTCCACTCCTCTACCCACTTCAATCCACCTTTTCCCGGCTCTTTAAGACTTCCCCGGCCCGAATTATGAGGGCTTGTAGAAAATGCTGTACACTTCAGAGCGCGCCCCGCCCATTCTGGGCGGGCCTCCGCCCACGTCATGTATGCAGGAAACACCTTAGACATTGCTCCCTTACACAAATTGTTTTCTGCTCTGTAGGCTTTCTCCCAACCGAGTTATGAAATTTTTCATAAAGCACTGCTTTTTTGGAGAACGCCCCGCCCACCGGGGGTGGGTCTCCCTAATTCGATGTGACTTACCAATGCACACCTTAACCCACTTTTTGGCCCAGTTTCGAGGTCGTTTTGTCACTGAAATCGAAATCTTGGTCTTCGGTACAATTCATTTCGACGCACGCCACGCCCTCTGTGGGCGGGGCTCCGCTTAGCTGATGTGTGTTTTGTATTACGTGAGACCCTGCCCACCCATCCCACACTTGACCCGGTCCCTCCAGGTGGATCCCGAGGAGCTAGGGAATTTCGTGACAGACATACAGAACGACACACGACACACGACACACGACACGAACAGACATCACTAGCGCCTTATATAAGTAAGGATAATTCGTAAGATGGTGAGCAGATGCCTTCAAACTGGACGCTTAAATTTATAAAATTGTCCTCTATTGACATACATGTGAGCTGCTGAAGGGCTACAAGAAAAGTTTGGGAAAAAAATTTTGCCTGTCGGCAAATTCTTGAAATGGATTTAGCATCTGTAATGAAGCACAGAGCTCGTGCGATGTCACGGTATCATAATTCCCGATAAAATTGAGTTTGAAGAGAGTTGTCAGTGTTTAAGTGTTGAAACCTGTGTTTTCAGGAGAGTAGCGCCGAAAATTCATGAAAAAAAAAACGGTCCAACGGGCGATTTTTTGACTCTTCCAACTTGAGTTAAACAGGAGGTCTTCTTTCAAGAAGCACTCCTGGTTGCAGATGCCAGGGGAGACAAGAACTGCAAAAAGTTCAATCTGAAGAAAGTTATAACAATTCAAAGCAAAAAACCAGCGCTCTGCAAAAAATCGGTCCGCGATTTTCCAAAAACGGTCCAACGAGGCGATTTTTTGACTCCTTTAACTTTGAAAGTGGTTCAAGTATTCGTTGAATCGGATATTCCTTCTCTCTTTCAACCCAGGGGGAAAATAATCGCAGAAGTTGGAATTTGAAGAAAGTTATAACCATTTGAAAGCCAAAAACCTGGTCTTGCGAAAAAAACGGTCCAACGGGGCAATTTTTTGAAGGAAAGAGTTTTTGCAAAGCTTGAGCACTTTTTAGAAAGAAAACAGTCTGAGCTTTCCAATTTTTCTTACCGCTCCTCATAATTCCTTCTTTGAAGAAAGTTACACCTTTTCAAAGGACGAAGTGCGCATTTCTGAAATTCTTTGTTTTCTACCCCATAACTGACGTAGTTATTCCAAGATATACTCGTGTACTTTCTGAAACAGCAGTTTCGTAAAATAAGATCTGCTGGCGTTCACAAGACAATTATGATACGCAACCAAACAAAATATAGCTCATTTGAAAGTCACTGTCTGCTTCTCGCAGCAGCGCTAGCGAGGAAGATGTGGCGCCAATTGCGAAGCAACGCTCGCTGGTGCTTCAACTCGTATAATGTATGTCTGTATACTTTCAATGCGTATAGCACCAGGGTCAAGCGAGGCGTTGAGGAAAATTTGGAAATACGACCCCCCCCCCCACCACCCTCCGCCGGAGGCCGAAGTCCATGAAACAACCCTCTTCAAAAGCCGAACTATGAAAAGGTTGAAAAGCTTGTTTAATTCTCCCCCAAAACTGCTCATAAAAAAGCCCTGCTACCCCACCGCCCACAAAAAAATTCGTTTAAGAAGTACAAAAGTGAAAAAGTCAAAGAATAATCATTATTGATGAGTCCTACCAAACGAGCAAACGAGAAACAGACCAGAAAACGACAAACTAGCCACTAAAAATGGCATACTATGACAACATCTCTTCTTTATTTATTTCCTCCACAAGACTTACCAAATTCTAGTACTACACAGATTATGGTTCTCAATTTACACGTCCCCCTTTCGCTCAAAGGAAGCCTTGTAAAAGCCTTCGCCAGCTGTGTGTTGACTGGACTTTGGCGTTGACCGTGGAGCAGCTTATTTACTATTGAAATTTGAACAAATATTCAAATGATTATAACTTTCTTCAAAGTTAACGAATTTTCAATCTGAAAGCAGATTTGGGAGTTTTGTGAAGAGCTTTTTCTAATCAGTATTGAAATTACAAAAAGTTATAAGAAATAACAAATTTAGGTCAATTAACGAGGAAAATTCGAGATGAGCACGAGTTTTTACACTTTCCGAAGCAACAACTTGCTTCATTTTCGTCAAATTCGAAAAGTTAATATGGCAGACAAAACTAGAAGATTTTCTCTACCAAACCGTTGCTAAAGCAGCTCTATACGTCCAGTATTCGAAAAAATGGCCACGTTGAGGATTTTTGCAAAATTAACGAGGAAAATTTGTGATGAGTGCGAGTTTTTTTACTTTCCTAAAGCCATAACTCCGTTCAAACTCATCCAATCCGAAAAGTAAATACGCCATCAGAAAACTAGAAGATTTGCTCTATCAAATGCTTAGCTAGAACTGCTCCAAACGTCCAGTATTAAAAAAACGGCTACGTTGAGGATTTTGCACGAGTACCGCCGAAAGGTACTTTTTCGCTACATTGGCACTATTTCAACGGCTGTATATCCTTTTAAGGGCGATTATGTACTAAAGTAAGAGCAGATTTGGAATCACTGCTTTTCTCTTTCTAAGAAAAGTGATTGATTAGCGTTTCTCAACTTTAAAGGTTACATGTTTATAAATTTAACCCTGAAGAGTCCGTTAACGCAATGTTGAATGGTGTACACCTCCCTGTAAATGCGCACGGGACACTTTCAGAATTCTCTCGATTGTTCCTGAATTGAGGTTGTTTGTCCAAGGAGCCGTAGTTGAAGCGCGCGCAACAACTAGACCCTTTCTCGGATGCGCCGTGTACCTCACATCCCTTCAGATTCGGGGTCTTACTTGAAAGATGAAATATCTCTTGGAAAGCGTGCGAAATTCAGATTCTTTAACTTGTGTGGTGATAAAACACTGAAGTAACTAAGAATTACCGGACGCCTCAGAATCACGAAAATTTTGTGTGGGTGAAATATCATTTTCATTGGAAATCCTCTGGCCTGGCATCGACTCATCCTTGATATTTGTCTTCCGACGGTGATGATCCCACTGCATCAAAATGGCTCGATCTCTTCCACCCAGCGGGCCAATACGACCCCCCCCCCCTGCGACGTGTCGAGGATTCCTCAACGCACGCTTGACCCTGCTCTAATCTCTGTGCGGCTGCGTTGATATGCGCTTGCATATCGAAATGGAATTTTTTGTGATTCTGAACGCCCATTCATGAAAGGCAGGCAAAGCGCCATTCGAACTAAAGGGCAGTACTGTTTAGCAACTAATGAAGGCAGTTCGTTTTGCGATGTTATGCATTAGTAAATTACGGATATCAGGAAACTAGAGCTTCGTCTGCTACTGTGTTTGAATTCAAGCCAAGTGTCCTTAGATATTTTGTAGATTGCACTTACTTCCCCTAGTGTTAGCTTTTCCTTACAGTGTACCGTACATAATAAGGGGGGGGGGGTCGTATGGAGACTCTCGAAGAGGGGGGTCGTAAAAGAAATCGATCCAACGTGACGGTTGACCCTGGTCGCATCGTTTTATCTTTTATCTCAGGATCTGCCGTCACTCCTTCCAGAAGATCTTGGAAAGCGACTCTACTTTGAAGAGTTACGACTCTATCTATGCTGATTTTTATGGAGCAATCCGAATAGAATCGACTGATAAAATGCGAAAAGTTTGTGCGCGAGCTCGAGGCGCGCCGCATCTCTGTTAAGATTTGAGTTGTGAGAAAATTGCATAGAGCTTTCAGCGACGGTCAAAATCAGAGGTAGCATTAAGGGAAAGTAAGAGTAAGCCTCTGCAATAGCGTTTGCTTTACAACAGACCCTCTCCCGAAAGTGTGATGATTTGGGATAGGGTAACATCCTAAATTGTAGCTCCATGTGTGTTCGTCTACAGAAAATGTTAAAATTGATTCAATGGTCCTGTAGTAACGACGTTGAGATACGGTGTGTTATTCTTCGCCCATGTGCATTCTGCTCAACGACCGTTTGCTCTCCGTTGAGAGTGGACTCCCTTTATACGCTTTAAAATCGATCAAAGCCGTTCTGGACGTACTTCTCCGAACGCAGAAGCAAGGAATTGTGACCTTCTCCCTCATAAGCATTCGACCCGATGGACTTCCTTATACAGCAATGTTACAGAGCAAGACCAGAAGACTTCTACCAGCTCGGTGGTGCTCTGAAGTTAGCGCTTCAGAAGAGGTGGGACGACATCGCCGTTGGCTACCTGCGGCGCACTGCTGATTTTGTCGTTGGACGTCAGAAGGCCTCTCTGAAGCAGAATCGTCAAACCTAGAGCACTTTCTGCGCTGGGCGATCGCAAGGTTCAACTCTATTTTTCTGCGCAGTTGTTTTATTAATCGAACCCACTTCTTAACTTTGACACTCAAAATCATGGCGTCCTATACTTTCCAGCCAACCTGTACAGTAGGAATTCCTGCTGGATGAGATACGTCTGTATATCCAAATAGTACTTGTTTTTATTTTAACAGATTTTATTTCAATTCAATTCACTGTACTTAACAGAGGATTATAAGTGTTGAAATCCGTAGAATAGTTTTTTTTGGTAGCGACGGGATGAAATCTGAAGGTAATGTCCTCCCCCGCATAAGCTCTTGACGTATGGGAGCAGCCAAATCATTACCTGAGAAGGAAATCTGCAATCTATCACCGTAGACCGGTACCGCTACCGTTGACAGTTGCACGAAACGGAAAAGAATTAGAAACTTTTCGAAACTCTCCAAAGTCGCCTTGAATTTTGTAAAAAGTTCCCTCCGTTTTTAGAAGTTCAACTCCAGGCTTCCGAAAGAACACTGTTTTACGAATTTCACCAAATACGATACCCCTTCCAAAGATAGTCAAGACATCTCCTCTTAGGAGCTTCCACCCTGAGTGGTCCTACACGATGCATAAATACAAACTCTCAGATAAGCCCTGCAGTTACCCGCGGAGGAATGCGCCCATGTGCCGGTTAGCTACGCCACGCGTTGGGTTGCGGGGTTCACCTTTGCTGAGTCTATGGATTTGTAGTATTAAAGAGTAGGCAAAGTGTCCGCACTTCAAATGAATAGTTGGACGTGCTATGAGAAAAGCTGCATTTCATGAAAAGTTCGCAAGCCTACAATTCGGATTAATGAATGACAAAATAGAATGAGACCATCGAAAAACAGTGAATAATCACCACGACATCGTGCCTACAAATAAGCAACCGAAAATGAGCGGACAGAGGATAAATTGCTTGTTCCGGCAAGAGCGGTGGGACATCAACAAATTTCAAAAGTACCACAAAGATTACCCAAATTCGAAGGTAGGCAACAATAGTATTCAGTCTGTGGTTCTGTTAGTGATCAGATGTCGTGCTCGGGGAATATTCTGTGGACAGTATAGTGTGGAATTGTGATGGCCCATTCGCAGCAAGCACAACAAGCTCATTTGACACTCGCTGTCACATGCGGGTTTTCTCACACGGAACGCATTCCTGAAATAGATCGTATTCAATCCAGAGAAAGGAATCTACCTCAGGAAAAATGCACTCCACCTGATATATTTCTTCGCTATCCTTGCTTCTTGAAGTATAGAATTCAGTGCGACGTTCCAACTAGCTGGAGACAGATCTCGCAATCCATATTTCTCCTTAACAAATCAGTGTGAATCACGTCAATATGGAGTCGGTGACCATTACAGTAACGGGATGTGAAAAAAAGGATATGAGAAGAACGCAATTTTTTCATATTCGGAGGTCACGCTAGGCCCGATCAGTCCCGCTGACGGAATTCTAAAGAGCGGGGGATCGTGTTGGAGTCAGCGAGGCATAAATTGTTCAAGCGCCCGGGAATGGATCGGCTTGTCTCACCAAGCGACAGTGCAGATGTAAGGTTTTCCAA